TAGTGTTAAAACAAAACAATAAAACAAAACAATTAAAACAAAACAAGTGTCTACAACTGTGATTGAACACGCCTTCAGACCCGGAGTCATGTGATCATCCACAACGCCCTAGATAAATACCCAAGCCTACTTGATGGTAATAGCGCTCACTGTTGCCCCTACTGGCCGGTTTTGAAGGCATTTCCCGATGTCCTCAGGACATGGACAGACGTCCAATTTCGAAGTCAATCTTGAGCGATCTGGCTGACTGTTCAGTGCAATTTTTTGGAACAGCAGAGTATTATATGATGATTAAACCCACCTGGGCAGCAGAGACTGTGTGTGTGGGCGTACTGTGGGCTGTACTGAGTTGTGGAGGGAACAGAGAGACAGCTGTCTACTCTCTCCATGAAGTCTGGATGATGTGTTCACTCGCCTAAATACACAGGCCTCCACAGTGCAGAGCATAGCAAAGTGTGTGTTCGTGAGTGCGTGTGCGTGTGCATGCCTGCTTGTGTTTCTGCGTGCATTAGGCAATTTGTTCGGTGCTATGGCAATTCGCCATTCATTCAACATTCATTCCCACATTCTGTGTATAACTCTGCCTGTATTTGTGAGGCGGGGAGGTACTATTGTAGTTACCCTCTCACTACATGTTAAGTATTGCTTCTTATTATGATGGTGTGCAGCTGAGCAATTTGCTGCATGTTGTTCCCCATACTGGGAGCTAATGGAGACTAGATTGCTTTGAGCGCCGGCCATTGGGAGGTTGTTAATAGTGATAGTGAGCGGGGTTAATGCATTCTGCTGGAGATATAGTGTTTTCAGAACCACGGACAGCTCTCCTCCGGAGTGATCCGGGCAGGTAGAGAGGTGTCTGAGGACTCTATTATCACGGCACCACATTGTGGAGAACAGTCCCCTACTCGCTCTGTGTAATATGTGGACTGGACAGCCTCTCCGCAGCTAGCACTCAACCACTTACAAACACACACGGAGACACAAACACACATTGACATTTTAGCCATTTAGCAGACGCTCTTATCCTGAGCGACTTACAGGAGCAATTATTGTTAAGTACCTTGCTCAAGGGCACATCGACAGATTTTTCACCTGGTTGGCTCAGAGATTGGAACCAGCAACCATTCGATTACTGGCCTAACGCTCTTAACCACTAGGCTACCTGCCACTCATTCTCTAACACACACACCCACACACACACACACACACACACAAACAAACAAACACACCGATGCACTCACTCTCTAACACACACACCACACACACACACACACACACACACACACACACACACACACATACCATCCTCTCCCTGGTCCCTCTCCTCTTCTCAGGCCTTTAAGTGTCTGCATGCTAAGCAGGGCCCCATACGGCCCAATTGACTGATGTTGCTTTAGATTTATTGGGGGAAAGGCTGAGGCTATCTCTCTCTGATCCCCACTCTGCAGGGGTTGGAGGGGAATGGGGGCTTGGTTGGGTTGAGAGATAAACCCTGAACCCCCATCCCCAAATACACACACACACACACTCCACTATCTTTGTTTCCCACACACACCCTCTGTAGACATGGTGGACTGGTGCAGCATGCAGTAAACCCCCACAAAGATGGAGGGAGAGAGGGAGGCAGGGGCTCAGTGCTTACTGACAGGAGGGAGGGAGGGAGAGAGGGGGAGAGGGGGAGAGGGGGAGAGAGAGAGAGAGAGAGAGAGAGAGAGAGAGAGAGAGAGAGAGAGAGAGAGGAACAGAAAGAGAGAGATATAGATACGAGGACATAACGAGAGAAAGTAGGAAACAGGAGAGGAGAGGAGAGTGCTGACATGGCTGTGACAGGGCTTAATTAGCCCGGAGAGTGTCTCCACTGGAAGATATTTCTGAGGATTGTTGTCATTTGAATAGATGAAAGAGCCTTTCACAAGGCTTAGCTGCTTCCTCACACTGTTCTGCTCCCATCCCAGCCCACAGCCTGACTGGGATTAGGCCTGGACGGACGTCACAGTGGAGGGAGGGAGGGAGGGTTGAAAGGAGCTGGGAGGGATGAAAGGAGGGGGATGGAGGGAGGGAAAAAGGAGTGTCATATTGCTGGAGTAGGGAGAGTATTTGTATTTATTAAGGATCCCCATTAGCTGCTGCCACTACTCTTCATGGGGTCCAGCAACATTAAGGCAGTTCTATACAATTTAAAATATTACATGACATTACTTTTCACAACACATTAAGTTTGTGCCCTCAAGCCACTACTCTACTACCACATATCTACAACACAAAATCCATGTGTATGTGTGTGTCTTATCATGTGTAAGTGTTTGTCTGTGCCTGTGTGTGTGTCTCTTCACAGTCCCCGCTGTTCCATAAGGTGTATTTGTATCTGTTTTCTAAATCTGATTCTACTGCTTGCATCAGTTACTTGATGCGGAATAGAGTTCCATGTAGCCATGGCTGTATGCAGTGCTGTGAGTAGAGCACTGGGAAGAGATGGTGTGTCAGAAACAGGACAAAAGTGTGAAGTGTGTGTGTTTGTGCTTTGATGCACATGATTGTGTGTACCAGAGATATATGAGTATTCATATGTGTGTTTCTGTAGACTAACCCCTCTCTTTCTCTCTCTGGCTCACTCTCTCTCTCTCTTTGTCTCTCTCTCGCTCTCTCTCTTTCTCTCGCTCTCTCGCTCTCGCTCTCTATCTCTCTCGCTCTTTGTGCAGACACGGAGGGCTGTGAACACACGTGGAGGAAGTTCCATGGCCACTGCTACAGGTACTTCAGTCGCAGACACACCTGGGAAGACGCAGAGAAGGACTGCAGGGAGCACAGCGGACACCTGGCCAGCATACACACACTCCAGGAGCAGGACTTCATCAACGGTGGGTGTCTTTCAATCATTAAGACCTTACAGAATTTATAATGAAGTGTAGTCTCATGCTCTGGCACTGATCCAGAAGTCATCCCAGTTGGAGTTAGAAGAGGAGCGGGAGGGGGATGGAGGGAGAGACAGAGGAAGAGAGGGATGGAGGGAGAGACAGAGGAAGAGAGGGATGGAGGGAGAGACAGAGGAAGAGAGGGATGAGGGAGAGACAGAGGAAGAGAGGGATGGGAGGGAGAGACCAGGAAGAGAGGGAATGGGGGAGGGAGAGCCAGGAAGAGGAGGAGTGTGATGTATAACTAGGAAGAGAGGGATGGAGGGAGAGACAGGAAGAGAGGGATGGAGGGAGAGACAGGAAGAGAGGGATGGAGGGAGAGACCTAGAGAAAGAGGTTATTGGAGGGAGTTAGACCTGAATAGGGAGTGATTAGGAGAGCAACGGAAATAGAGTGTATTGATTTGATATACAGATGAATAGATAGATTTATTGATATACATAATTAATAGATTTATTTAGTTATATACATAGGAAAGAGGTATGAGGAGATTAATATGGTTAAAAAGAGAGAAATGGATGAAAGGAGCATGGGAGCCCCTCCCAATCCCAGAGCAGCCAGAGCTTTCCTTTCCCCACTCGTCCTCCCTCATCCTCTCCTCCACAGACACATTTACCAAAAAGTGTGTTTAATTGCCTCGAAAATGGACGTCTCCACCTCGCCAATAAAGGGAGCACAGCTATTAGGAAGATTAATGGGCCCCATAATGATGTTAATCAGGAACACCATGATTGAAATTCCATTACACCCAAATCTCATCAATGCTGCACCGTCCACAAAGATCTGGCTGCTTCTGCCTTCTGCTATCGAGGGATGAAATTGTGATAAGATCGGAGCTGAGCCTCCCTGAGGGAATGGCTAGTGTGGTGCCTTGGGGACAGCATGCATGTAAAATAGGAGAATATGCAGAACTATTCTGCAGTAAATACTGCTGGTTGTTTTTTTAAATGATGGGTGGTGTGTGTGTGTCGCTGTTAAGGTCTGAGCCATGACAACACCTGGATCGGCCTGAACGACAGAACAGTAGAGGAGGATTTCCAGTGGACCGACAACAGGACCGGTGAGAGAGAGAGAGAGAGATGAGAGGATGAGAGAGAGAGAGAGAAGGGAGAATAGAGAGAGAGAGAGAGAGAGCTAGAGAGAGAGAGATAGAGAGAGAGAGATGAGAGAGAGAGAGAGAGAGGAGAGAGCGCTCTTCTCTCGCTCTTCTCCTCTTCGCTCCTACCTCTCTCTGGATCCTCTCTCGCTTCTCTCTCTCTCCTCTCTCTCTCTCGTCTCTGAGAAAGATGAGAATCACTCTTTTATCCTTATGTGTCGTAGCGAGGAGGTGGATGTTAGCTAAAGGTCAGGTGGGAAATTGATAGAGTGAACGTGTCATTACATGTGTACATGTACACCCTCGCTTGCTGAATCACTTTTCTTCCTACACTACTTACCACTTCTATCTCCCTAGAGGCAGCTCCTATGTGCCTGGTGTTATTTCAGAGCTGTCATTACTCTGTGTCGGTCTATATCACTGGAGAAAGACCATAAGTGTTGTTCAATAAAAGAGCACAATGAAACAGTCTGTTTTATACTGTATGGATAATGATGCTATCTACCACTTTTATTTTTGTTCTGTCTGTGTTGTGTGACTGTGCCTGTGACTGTGTCTGTGACTGTCTGTACTGTGTGCCTGTGACTGTGTCTGTGCTGTGTCTATTACTGTTACTGTGCCGTGTGTCTGTGTCTGTGACTGTATATGTGTCTGTGACTGTGCCATGTGACTGTGTCTGTATCTGTGACTGTGCCATGTGTCTGTATCTGTATCTGTATCTGTGACTGTGCCATGTATCTGTATCTGTGACTGTGCCATGTGACTGTATCTGTGACTGTGCCATGTGACTTTATCTGTGCCATGGGACTGTATCTGTGTCTGTGACTGTGTCTATGTCTGTGACTGTGACTGTGTCTGTGACTGTGACTGGGCCATGTGACTGTATCTATATCTGTGTCTGTGACTGTATCTGTGACTGTGATACAGCAATATGAGAACTGGCGGGAGAACCAGCCGGATAACTTCTTTGCGGGGGAGAGGACTGTGTGGTGATGATCGCCCATGAGAACAGCAAGTGGAACGATGTGCCCTGCAACTACAACCTGCCCTATGTCTGCAAGAAGGGAACAGGTGAGAGGGAGAAAGAGGAAGGGAAGGAAGGGGGAGAGAAGGGGAGAGCGCCTGAGAATGTGAAAGAGGGAAGAATCGAGAGGGGATGAAGAAAGAGAGGGGCTGAGAGTGTGAAAGGAATCGAGCGGGGAAAAGAATGAAAGAGAGTTGAAGAGGAGGTGATATCATGTTTCTGCTGTGCTTTAAATACATTAAATAATACTTTAAAGTCTCCTGTATGTTAGCGAGACCATTTTAGCCTCTTCAATCAGTCAGTCTGGACAATAGGTTGACACATTACAGCTCACCTCCAAGCCCAGTCAGCTCACCTGTAGCTGCGCTTCCCACTTCAGACAGCTCCTTTAAACCACTTCTACTGATGGTTTTACTGTCAAACCAGGGGCTGAGAATTTCTCAGAACATTTAATCTACAACAGAATGATCCTCCTTTGTCTGAAGCATTGTTGGAAGAGTTTCACACAAAGTTTTGGGGTTGTCTGGTAAAGTTCCTTAGTCACATGATCAGGCCTCTGTGGATCTGCTCTGTCATGGTGCTGTGAGGAATGTGAGATGCCAGAGAAGCCAGGTCTCTTCCTCTGTGGGCTTATTAGAGCTGATGGTCCCTCATTTGCATTTGGGGCAGACAGAGAGACAGGGTATTAATAGCCAGACAGGTAGGGGTTTATAGGTAGGTTGAGATGGCTGGCCAGACTCCAGAACTGTGTTTAAGGAAATGGAGGATCAGGAGACTCTGGACTCACTGGTGGGTCACTGCTAGATCATTTTGGGTACTGATTTAAAACTGGCCTCAGGCTAGAAACAGTATTTTTTTCATCTGAATGGTCAAAAAATAGTTTTAAAACTTGAGATAAGTCACTCATGCCACACAAAAGTTTGGGGACCACTACCCTAGAGTCAGATCAACTTTCCACTGTGGATGTGAAGGTATTTACTCTTTATGTTACATGTAGTATTTACAGAATGTTATTTCTCTCATCAGAGGTGTAACCCATAGCTGATGACGGCAGGTAGCTTAGTGGTTAAGAGCGTTGTGCCAGTAACCGAAAGGTCGCTGATTTTAATCCCCGAGCCGACTAGGTGAAAAATCTGTCGCTGTGCCCTTGAGCAAGGCGCTTAACCCTAAATGCTCCAGTAAGTCGCTCTGGATAAGAGCGTCTGCTAAATGACAAAAAAAAAATAATAATAATAATAATAATGACACACTGTCACAGGTCTAACTTAATGCCTCCTACTGGGAAGCTGACCTTCAGTCAATCAGTCAGTGGCAGCATTCCATCTTCAGCCCAACTAAACTCCTTCTTTACAGCAGAGAATATTCTGTCTTGATTTCTACTGTTTAGTGGTGTTGTTCTGGGGTTTGCTGCTCATCAGTGGCCGTATGATGTGATTGGCTGTTAACTGGCGTGTGGCTGACGCTCAGGCCTGTCCCTCTTGAGAGAGAGCCAGGAAACAGTATCCAATCAGAGATGCACATCATCTGGGTGATTAGTGTTACCCATAGTGCTGTGGGGCAGACCGCAGGCAGGCATGAGTCACCCTGATCAGGAGGATGGGCCGTGGTGAAGGCCTCTGTCTGTCACAAACAGAGAGTATTATCAAATACTCAAATTAACTTGTTTTTAACTAGGACAGAGGAATTTATAACAGATTTTTTCCGACATAACATAGGTACAGCAAATCCCCTTATTGTATGGGACACCTTTAAATGTGCCTTTAGAGGCCATGCAATTCAGTACTCATCTCGAAAACAAAAGCAATTTAGGTCAAAAGAGTCCACACTAACAAAGGAAATAGAAGGTCTAACAGAACAGATAGATAGCAATAAAAACTGTTACATAGAGGCTCAGAATAAATTAGAGGAAAAACAAAAAGAAATGGAGAAACTTATTCAAGAAAGATCAAGTGTAATATATTATAAAAATAAAGCAAACTGGATGGAATGTGGGGAAAAATGCACCAAATTCTTTTTTAATCTTCAACATAGGAATGCTACCAAAAATAATTTACTGAAACTGGTTACAAATGACGGAGTCACCCATGATTCACCAAATGAAAGTACTTTAAGTTTTCGTTTCAGTCGCCTCCATCTCCTCTAACTGAAGCAAATTGTAGAGATTTTTTTTCTATTGATAATGTAAAATTAACAGCCATACAGAAATACTCATGTGAAGGTGAAATTACAGAGGAGGAACTTCTGGATGCAATTATAGACTTTAAGTCTGGGAAAACTCCAGGGTTGGATGGCATACCAGTCGAGGTATATTAGCATGTTTTAACCACTCCTATGTAAATGGTAGATTTTCAGACGCTCAAGAAGAAGGTCTGATTTCATTATTACTGAAACAGGATACAAGTGGAAAATATAAAGATCCAGTCCATTAAAAAAATTGGCGGCCCCTTACACTTCAGTGTTGTGATGCAACAATTCTAGCAAAATGTATAGCGCATAGAATTAAAAAGGTATTGTCAGACATTATTCATTCTAATCAGACAGGTTTTTTACATGGGCGATACATTGGAGATAATATAAGGCAAGTACTGGAAACAATAGAACTCTATGAAAAATCTGGGAAGCCAGGCCTACTATTCATAGCAGACTTCGAAAAGGCATTTGATAAAGTATGACTGGGGTTTATATACAAATACCTGGAGCATTTCAATTTTGGACAATCTCTTATAAATTGGGTTACAATCATGTATAGTAACACTAGGTGTAAAATAGTAAATAATGGCTGTTTCTCAGAAAGTTTTAAACTGTCAAGAGGAGTGAAACAAGGTTGTCCACTATCGGCATTTCTATTTATTATTGCCATCGAGATGTTAGCTATTAAAATCAGATCCAACAATAATATCAAGGGATTAGAAATCCAGGGCTTAAAAACAAAGGTGTCATTGTACGCTGATGATTCATGTTTTCTTTTACATCCACAACTTGAGTCCCTCCACAGCCTCATAGAGGATCTAGATACATTTTCTAACCTCTCTGGATTACAATACAATTTTTACATTACCATGTAGTTTACCAATAAAATGGTCTGATGGTGATGTGGATACACTCGGAATACATATCCCAAATTAAATAAATGATCTCACTCCAAAAAAAATAATAGAAAGTTAGCAAAAATAGATAAGATCTTGCTACCATGGAAAGGTAAATACCTGTCAATTTGTGGAAAAATCACACTGATTAACTCTTTAGTATTATCCCAGTCTTGCCTACGCCTAGCGAACTGTTTTTTAAATTATATGAGAAAATAATATTCCATTTTATTTGGAACGGCAAGCCAGACAAAATTAAACGGGCCTATTTATATAATGAATATGAATTAGGAGGACAGAAATTATTAAATACTAAAAGCTTCAGTCATACAAAAATTATACTTAAATCCGAACTGGTTCTCTAGCAAACTAGTAAGATTGTCTCACCCAATGTTCAAGAAGGGACTTTTTCCCTTTATTCAGATTACAACCCCTCACTTTCAGGTATTTGAAAATAAAATAATCTCCCAAATATCACTCTTTCTAAAACAAGCCATAGAAAGTTGGTTGCAATTTAAATTTAATCCTCCAGAAATGACAGAACAAATATTGCAACAAATATTGTGGTTAAATTCAAATATACTAATTGATTTAAAAAAACGTACTCTTTTGAGAAAAAAAAAAAAAAAAAAGGTATAATCATCGTAAATGACATTATCGGTAGGAATGGTGGAGTTACAGTGGGGGAAAAAGCATTTAGTCAGCCACCAATTGTGCAAGTTCTCCCACTTAAAAAGATGAGAAAGGCCTGTAATTTTCATCATAGGTACACGTCAACTATGACAGACAAATTGAGAAAATGTTTTCCAGAAAATCACATTGTAGGATTTTTAATGAATTTATTTGCAAATTATGGTGGAAAACAAGTATTTGGTCACCTACAAACAAGCAAGATTTCTGGCTCTCACAGACCTGTAACTTCTTCTTTAAGAGGCTCCTCTGTCCTCCACTCGTTACCTGTATTAATGGCACCTGTTTGAACTTGTTATCAGTATAAAAGACACCTGTCCACAACCTCAAACAGTCACACTCCAAACTCCACTATGGCCAAGACCAAAGAGCTGTCAAAGGACACCAGAAACAAAATTGTAGACCTGCACCAGGCTGGGAAGACTGAATCTGCAATAGGTAAGCAGCTTGGTTTGAATAAATCAACTGTGGGAGCAATTATTAGGAAATGGAAGACATACAAGACCACTGATAATCTCCCTCGATCTGGGGCTCCACACAAGATCTCACCCGTGGGGTCAAAATGATCACAAGAACGGTGAGCAAAAATCCCAGAACCACACGGGGTGACCTAGTGAATGACCTGCAGAGAGCTGGGACCAAAGTAACAAAGCCTACCATCAGTAACACACTACGCCGCCAGGGACTCAAATCCTGCAGTGCCAGACGTGTCCCACTGCTTAAGCCAGTACATGTCCAGGCCCGTCTGAAGTTTGCTAGAGTGCATTTGGATGATCCAGAAGAGGATTGGGAGAATGTCATATGGTCAGATGAAACCAAAATATAACTTTTTGGTAAAAACTCAACTTGTCGTGTTTGGAGGACAAAGAATGCTGAGTTGCATCCAAAGAACACCGTACCTACTGTGAAGCATGGGGGTGGAAACATCATGCTTTGGGGCTGTTTTTCTGCAAAGGGACCAGGACGACTGATCCGTGTAAAGGAAAGAATGAATGGGGCCATGTATCGTGAGATTTTGAGTGAAAACCTCCTTCCATCAGCAAGGGCATTGAAGATGAAACGTGGCTGGGTCTTTCAGCATGACAATGATTCCAAACACATCGCCCGGGCAACGAAGGAGTGGCTTCGTAAGAAGCATTTCAAGGTCCTGGAGTGGCCTAGCCAGTCTCCAGATCTCAACCCCATAGAAAATCTTTGGAGGGAGTTGAAAGTCTGTGTTGCCCAGCGACAGCCCCAAAACATCACTGCTCTAGAGGAGATCTGCATGGAGGAATGGGCCAAAATACCAGCAACAGTGTGTGAAAACCTTGTGAAGACTTACAGAAAACATTTGACCTGTGTCATTGCCAACAAAGTGTATATAACAAAGTATTGAGAAACTTTTGTTATTGACCAAATACTTATTTTCCACCATAATTTGCAAATAAATTCATTAAAAATCCTACAATGTGATTTTCTGGAATTTGATTTCTCATTTTGTCTGTCATAGTTGACGTGTACCTATGATGAAAATTACAGGCCTTTCTCATCTTTTTAAGTGGGAGAACTTGCACAATTGGTGGCTGACTAAATACATTTTTTCCCCCACTGTAACTCCACCATTCCTACCGATAATGTCATTTATCAGGAGCATGCCCAGGCGTTGTAGGGAGGTCATACAGGCACGTGGAGGCCACACACACTACTGAGCCTCATTTTGACTTGTTTTAAGGACATTACATCAAAGTTGGATCAGCCTGTAGTGTGGTTTTCCACTTTAATTTTGAGGGTGACTCCAAATCCAGACCTCCATGGGTTGATACATTTGATTTCCATTGATAATTTTTGTGTGATTTTGTTGTCAGCACATTCAACTATGTAAAGAAAAAAGTATTTAATAAGATTATTTCATTCATTCAGATCTAGGATGTGTTATTTTAGTGTTCCCTTTATTTTTTTGAGCAGTGTACATATATGCGATAAAAAAAGAAGAAAAAAACATATGGCGGATTGGAAGTGATGCAGACAATTACATTGATGGAAGTTACAATCTATCTGCAATATTAAAGCTGATCTACCCCCCAAAAAAATTAAAACAAATACCAAAATTCTCATTCATATAAAGTTCAAAATATTCTCTTACACACACACCTCAAGTCCAGGCCAGCGCACCCTGGTCCTTTGGAGCAGTTGGGTCAGATGTCCCCTGGAACTCCTGGAACATCTGCCTCTGTCTCTGCCTCTACATGCCTTTTACCAATTATACTTCCTCTCCTGCACCTTTCCTCTGGGGACAGAGAAGCAGCTCACCCTGACACCCCTGTGGACCAATTAGTGAGGGTAGTGTGTACGGCCCAGTACATCACCGCGGCCCCCTTTTGTAGGCCCGCGGACCAATTGGTAGGCCTTGCGGTCTGATGCCAAGCAGTGATGCAGCCAGTCGAGATGCTCTCAATGGTGCAACTGTATAACTTTTTGAGGATCTGAGGGCCCATGCCAAATCTTTGAACTCAGGATCTCAACTTACTGTTGAGCGTTAGAATAATGGAATGCACAAGGTGCAATTTCTACATTTTGTAGTGCATCACTCAATTAGCCTATGTCAGCTACATTTTTTTAGATCGGAAAGTTAGTCTAGCGGCCAGCTATCTAAACTTGTAGTAGGCATGGTTGAATTACCAACCGGGGTGGGGCCCATTGATGAATATGCTTGCGTGTTGTTTGTGTAAACATGCCCACCTCACCCCAGTCTAATCTGCTGAGACATGATAGCCTCTAGGTGTAGCTTCAGCCCACAGGGCTCGGAAAGTGCTGGATGGATCCAGGCTCTAACTGTCTTCAGATTTCAAAAGAACACTACATCAGCCTGACACACTCCTGCCCACCTGCCAGCCATCCCCAACCTAGACCCAGTCAGTAAGAGCATATCTGGATTGTGTTATCGAGTGCCATGCCTGGTCCTGTGTCTATTGATCTGTTGACACAGCCGCACGGTAGTGTCAGTAATGTTCCTCCTAGTCTCTGCTACTGCACACTGAACACAGTGAGTAATAAACTGTGGTTTTCTGATTGGCTGAATTGAAGGTGTGAGCCGTAGCAGCAATCACTGTACTGGCAGTCTAAACAAACCCTGTTAACACAATTTAGAAATTCTTAGCACTATTAAAAGTGGGGTAATCTGATATGGCTGGCCATTATTAAGGTGTATAATAATATGGCTAAGTAATATCATGGCTATGTGGTTAGGGTAGCTCAGTTGGTAGAGCATGGCACTTGCAATGTCAGGATAGTGGGTTTGATTCCCGGGACCATCCATACGTGAAATGTATGCACACAAGACTGTAAGTCGTTTTGGATAAAAGTGCCTGCTAAATGTCATATGTTATTATATTGTAATAGCCTACAGGTAATAAAGTAGAATCTATGGCACTATGGTTGTGACTAGTATGTGCTTTTTGCACCTTAGCTGTAAATCACACCGCTGTATTGTGGCCCCTTAGAGCTTACTCCAGTATTGAGATAATGAAGTTAAAACGACTTGTTTTGAGTTGATCTCCCTCACCCAGAAAATGCATTTACTTGTTTGGGGCCGTACTGCATTTACAGACCAGACCTCCCACTGGAGCCGTGCTGCAGTTACAGACCAGACCTCCCACTGGGGTTAGTTAATGTACTGAGGGCTTTAGGTTTGAACTGCAGGGCTGCCATCTAGGGAATGACAGAGGTACTGCACCTTCATCCCCAGTCACCCCTCCTCATCCTTCGTCTCTCATTCATCCCCCTTCTAATCCGGCCAATGAGAATCAAGTGTGGGTGTATTCCTAACACCTGTCACACATTGTGGCCCCTAAGGCCCCTGTCCCCTCAAAAATAGTTTGTGTAGGATGAAATTACCCCTACACACTGATCGAAGGTCACACTGACCCACTGACCTTTCAGCTCTGGCTAGAACTTCCCCATAGGCATAGATCTAGGATCAGTTTACCCTCCATCAAATCTAACATTCAATATTCAGGAGGATAACAGAAAATCGAGGTCTCATGGGGGACAGGGGCATAAAAAGGACATGCACCCAGGCAAAGAATGACTGTGTGTATGGATGTACACGACTGTGAATGCTGGTAATAGACATCATATTATGACCTCATGTCCCACTCATCCATTACTGTGTTTATATCTATCTATCTATCTATCTATCTATCTCTCTCTCTCTCTCTCTCCTCTCTCTCTCTCTCTCTCCTCTCTCTCCCTCTCTCTCTCTCTCTCTCTCTCTCTCTCTCTCTCTCTCTCTCTCTCTCTCGCTCTCGCTCTCTCCCCCCCCCCCCCCGTTTTGGCAGTGCTGTGTGGGAACCCACCCAATGTGGAGAACGCCTTTCTGATTGGCCGTAAGCGGCCCCACTATGACATTCATTCAGTGGTGCGTTACCAGTGTGCAGACGGGTTCCTCCAACGTCACGTCCCCACGGCCAAGTGTCGCGCCAACGGCAAGTGGGACCGGCCCAAGATCATCTGCACAAAGTGTGAGTGACCAAGACCATTAAAGGGTTACGTTTTATCTCTATGGGGTTAATGCTCAAACAACAGGAGAGGAATGGACACTTAAAGTTAGATCGAATTCATTAGGAGTACAAGACTCTCTTTTGACCAACTTTTCATCAGATAGAGGTTGTGTGATGATGGTAATGTCATTTTAATGTAGATAAAACTAAGTTCTAGCTCTTTTTTCTGTGAGATTGACAGCAGAGGTTTGGAGGACTGCCAGAAAACACCAAGAAGAAACATTTGATTTTACTATCCTCCCATAGAGTAATAAAACTCACTCTGCAGAACAATGGCAACATTTCTTTATGACAGCAGGATCTTTCATATTGTAGGATCAATAGCAAACTCTTATTTCTCATTTCACCTTTCAAGCTGTGATGTTTATTCGGCTGTTACTGACATAATGAATTGCTTCTGTTTAAAGTGAAAATATGGAGCCTTATTAATTTTTTTATTCTGTGCATTTTGAGTGTTGTTTTCCTGCTATAGTCGTTTGTTAGTCATCATTATCCTGGCAAGGTAGACTTTTTGTTGACAAACCCAAACCAGGACCAACAAATCAAATTTGGCAGCACAACATAGGAAGGAAGTGGCTTACTCAGGCTGTGAGTGGGAGAACAGTCCTATGCTAATACATGTAGAGAGCTCGGCGCCCACACTGTTCAATGTAAAGTAGAGTAGATTAGACACTCAGGGCTGAGTGGCTGATGTTGAGCACTGTATATCTGTGGTGTTGACTTTTCCCCCCCCCCCCCCCCCCCCCCCCCCTCATATTCCTCTCTCACTCCATCTCATCCTTGACTCTACCCCGTCGCCACCGCTCTACCTGCCACACACCCCTCTACTCCCTCTCATCCGGTCTCGACTCTCTCTTACCCCTCACTCCTCCACTTTCACCCCCTTTCACCCCCTTCTCTCCCTCTCTCTTACCCCTCACTCCTCCACTTTCACCCCCTTCTCTCCCTCTCTCCCTCTCTCTAGCCCGGCGAGCCCACCGATACAGACGTCACCATGATCACAACGGGCGACGGGAGCGTAAAAAGCACAATAAACACAGCCATGGACACGGAGAGGGAGGCCACCACGGAGGGGACCAGGGCCACAGGCACGGCCATGGACACAGAGGCCACCACGGCGGGGACCAGGGCCACAGGCACAGGCATGGGCACGCTCATGCCCACATCTGAACCAAAAGCCCCCACTGCCCAAACCTCACCTCACTGCCCAGTCTCCCTACTCTACTCCTCTCTACTCCCTGTCTACCCCCTCTCCTGCCCTGTTCTTGGCTCCCCGAGCCAGCCTGTATCATACTCAACTCTGAGGCCTGACAGCCGACTGCTAGGCCTCACTGAGACAATAACAATCCCTTTGTACTCTTTTCTTTACCTTCACTACTTTTCTTTTCTTTCTTTTATCCCTTCCCGACCTGCTTTATCGAGTCAGTGATGACCCAGGATACGGTGCTTTGATCACCTAATAAATCTTAAGAGGTTTCTTTTTCTTTTTTTTTACATAAACAATCGTGGAGGAGGAGGTTTAGTACAAGCTGTAAATAGTGACAACATCATTGGAAATTTGTATCAAAATCAGAAGAGTCAATGAATAGATAGATTCATATATCCATGTTTTTCCATGACTCTTCATTCTAACACCTTTATTTTTAAGAGACTCGTTGTCTGAGTGTATTTCCTGACTTTGGTGTTTTTGGTTAGCTCTTTGTAAGACATTTGACTTAATAACCTACAACAGTTATTCTGAACAGATTGACATGCTTTGCTTTGAGACTGGTGCTTGTACTGATTGAGTAGCGTTGTATTTCACCATTGTAAGACAGATACTTTGGACTGGGTGTACTAGGTGCACAGAGGAAAATGGAAACAACTCACAGTTACCTTGTATCCAAGTCAACCTCACACCACTGAGGTCAAATCAAATCAAGTATCCAGAAGCCCAAACAGTACCCCATAGTGGTGGGAGAACTCCACAGCAGTCCCTTTTAAAGCTGAACTGGAAATGTTACTTTGTTTTCTTCTAACAATATCAGCCTTTCTAAATCATTCTGTGTTCCTGCTTAACTGCTAGAGAAGATCGCTAGTTGGTAGTCGAGAAACCCAACCGAGAAAAGCTGTTACCTTTGGAACTGGCCAGATTGTGATTGAGTCTGGCTTCCCAGTTAGCTAATAGGCAATGATCCTTAATCAGAATCCTCTCATGCCCATCACCACACTCTCATATTCCATCTGTCTCTATATTGAAGGTCTGTTCATCCTCTATCTTAGAGTTCTGCTTCTCTGGCCAGCTGAGGAGAAATTGTTCTGTCAGACTGTCAGGGAGAGAGAAGGACAGGGGGAGAAGAAGAGAGAGGAGCAAGGAGTCCAGAATCTTAATTACAGTTGGCCCCCTTCTCCAGCACATCAAACAGAGGGATGACAGGGCTCTCTGTGTAGCCGTCGGGTACAGAGCTGGGCCTATAATTAGCTTTATAAAGTAGTGCAAATAGGACATGGGGCCATTAAGCCGGGGTGAACCCCCACTGTGCCTCATCCCAACAGAAGTGAGCTGGGCTAGTGTAGTAGTGTATGGATATGGCTTTAAACTGAGCCCAGTCTCAGTGAGGGTTGTGTGGGGGTAACAGTGGGGCGACAGCGCCCACAGAAGATGCAAAATGTTTTATAGATGGTTAAAATAGATAAAGCACTGTATTTCTGGACATGGAGGCATTCGGCTGTCATTCACAGCGTTTCAGAATAGTATTCACTCCAGGTGCGTGTCCTGGTTTTAAACAGGGCTGTCCGGTCTGCTGCAGTCTGCAGCCCGGTCCGGCTGGGGTAAGACCCGGGCCACCTCCTCTCTGCTGCTGCTAGAAAAATATACATGTTTTTGTTTTTTTCCTGCAGGGTCCCACTGATTCTCTAAAGCTCCTTTATCACCTTGTGCAATTCCTCTGAGCTGACATCCCCCACTTTCTCTTTATGTCTCTCCTCTCTCTTTTGCTCTCTCCCTCCCTCTATCTCTCTCTCTCCCTCCCTCGCTCCTCCAGTTCTTCCCTTGTCTTTCATCCTCAGCCCTTTATCCACCTTGTCAATGACACAGATGGGGCCTGAAAGAAAGAAAAGAGAGAGATGTTCCATATCAGTACAGTTCATCTCCCTCAAAGCATGCTTAATTAATGAAGAGGTTATCATCATGACCTTTGTCCCTGGCTGTGATGACAGTGGCTATGCTCCGACGGACAGGGAGCCACAGGCCTTTCACAGCACTCAAGCTTTCTTGTCTTTAACATGTCAGTCTAATATCAGCTTTTTTTCTATCCGTCTACTATTCCAGACATTCCAGACAATGGATTGACCGTGGGTGGGTGGGTGGGTGCTCCTTAGGCATTTAAATCAGCTGAGCTTCTCCTAGAGATAGCATGATGAGTATGATTACTATGGACTTAAGCAGGACAATGCCTGTCTGTCTCTCACAGTAATACGAGAGACAGAGTAGAGTGTGTGACAGGAAGAACAAATATGAACAGAGGTGATTGGATCTCTCTCTCGCATAATGGATAAGGACAGAACTATCAAACTATAACAAACAGAGACTCTGCTGAGAGAGAGACTGGGCTTGAATGAGGTGTGAGGGTCCAATCAGATGTTGGATATGATTAGGGAGTAGAGATGGAGTCCTTGTTGTTTTATAGGACAGTGGAGGCCGACCAACATGTCTGGCTGGCTGGCAGTCATCCTCTAGTCTAGGAGGCTGTTGTTATCTCCCCACCAGACCAGCTGGTTATTGCAGGTCTCCTGGAGCAATGGGTCAACTCGGCTCAATGTACTCTGTGGATGGTGTAAGCCTGCTCTGATGCACACAGATATACCCTCAATCTCTGACACTCACAGACACATACTCTCTCTCTATCATAGAGACACATTCTCTCTTTCCCAATCTGACTCACTCTCTCTCACCCTCTCTTTCTCTGACACATACACACACGCTTACACGCTCTCATCATGATATACGCCCTGCCCTCGCTTCAGCTCCCTCTCTTCCAACCACCCTCCCTCTCCAGCTCTGTAGTCTGATGCCCTGAAGACAGACAGACGGCCGACGATGGAATCGTGGCTTCATTGTGATGAACCTTAATTATGAAGACAAGTCACTAAACAACTGAGGTCGCCCACAGCTGTCTGCTGCTGCGGCACGGCATGGTCGGCACGACTGCAATGCCTTCACAACTAGCTGGGCTTTTCAACACGGGAGAGAGAGCGATGAGAAAGAGAGAGAGAAGTAGAGAGAGAGAGAGAGAGAGAGAGGAGAGAGAGCAGATGAGAGAGAGAGATAGATGAGCGAGATATTCTCTCCTCTCTCCGAGCTCCTGCTCTCTCTCTTCTCTCTCGCTTATCCTATCTCGCCTCCGCGATTGCTTCTCTCTATCGTCTCTCTTCCTCACTGCTTTTTCACTTGCTTTGGCAATGTAAACATATGAGCGGGAGTGAGAGACTAGTGGGATACCGCTTAATTAGAACTTCATCAGTGTGGTGGCTGTGTCTCCGCACTCTGCACGGTTGGCAAACTGGGAGTGTGTGGATGAGTAGATGCGCAGTCAGGTAGCGTGTGATTGGATCAGAGGGTGGAATAATATGAGCAGTGGAGGAGTTAACGTTCTGTCGTCTGTCTCAGGTAGCAACAGGCAAGCAGCCTGAGAGGAAGACAACTCTGTTAGCATTCTGAAGCACAAGCTGTAATGAGATGTTAACCTTGCCCTTTTGGATTTTCGTTGTTGTGGGAGTGAGAAGAAGGAGGACAGGAGTGAGGCAGGAGCGGATAGGAGAAGGGAGAGAGCACTGCCCTCTATTTAATCTGGGCCCTGCGTTAGCTGCAAACATCCATCAATGACTACATACACTGCTTTAGTATGATCAAAGTGTGTGTGTGTATATCTCATCTCCATCTCCTCTCCTGCCTTGCTTCCCTCATTTCTCTCCTCCTCTCCTGTCCTCATTTCACTCCTCCTGTCCTCTCTCCTCTCCTCCCCTCCCCTCCCCTCCTCTCAGTGCTGGTCTCCAGCAGCCCATTGAGGGCAGGTAATCCTGACACTAAACCCCCACACCACACGGCTCTCTACTGTAGCTCACTGTCATCTTTCTATCACGCTGCTGGTGAGTCAGATGACAGCTCTGTAGCAGCAGAGGCATCAAAGCCACCACTGTGTCAGTACTGTCTCCAGCCCATCCAGCAAAAGAAGACTCAGCGTAGCGCTGGTCCCGTGCTGAGGACACCTGTTTTCTGACTGCTAGAGAGTAGTATCACCTGTTATGGTATTAATCCTAGGAGAGGAGAAGGATATTCACTCTATGAGCCAGAGAAGCTGTGGTAGATATGGTTGTTTTTATGAGATACTTTTTGCTAGGTACAACTTTATACCACCCATATCAGATTAAACTTCTGACAATGACAAGCTGATCAGACTGGGGAATGACTATTGAATCTGTTGTCACTGCAGACAGACAGCTCATTGATTTCATGATTAGTCTGTCTGAGTTACTGTTAGACTGTCTGTGAGACTGGCAGCATGAGTTTATAGGTCTACTGTAAATTGCTGACTGCTACCTATCCTCAACTATCCTCAGTGTCTTTACAAGCTGGCTTTTTGAACTTGTTCATTTTATGGCTAATTTGTGTTTGGGTTGCCAGATGCTGTTCTCTGTCCCTCCCTGTGTGTTTTTAATCTACTCCAAAACAACATTGTGTGTGTTTGTGTGACTGTTTTGACCCTAAGATCAATTCCTTCTGTTTTACATGATATTCCCATAGCAGAGAAATGGTAACCCATAGCTACCAAGCACTGGGTATTCTTTAATTATGTGAACTAACTATGTTGACATCCTAATTGATGTACAATCCCCTTACTAGCCCAGAATTTGTTTTATCTGGAGTGTTTAAATTATTTCTAAGAATTAGCTGTGAAGAACTTATTTAGCCCTTTCTGTATGTGGTTACATACAGTCGTGGTCAAATGTTTTGAGAATGACATAAGTATTGGTCTTCACAAAGTTTGCTGCTTCAGTGTTTTTAGATATTTTTGTCAGATGTTACTATGGTATACTGAAGTTTAATTACAAGCATTCCATAAGTGTCAAAGGCTTTTATTGACAATTACATTACGTTTATGCAAAGAGTCAATATTTGCAATGTTGACCCT